ATTTAGAAATCATCTGGATCGCCTTTAACATTTATCAATAAACCCATCATAGTCGTTGTTGCTAATCGTATTTGGGTTTATCGATTGGTTTATCATATTAGCAGCATAAAATGCGAACATAGTTTAGATAATAAGATTAAAAATTTAGGTACTGTCAACTGCACTAGTAAATAACTAAATCCTCAGTAGCTGTTGGCTAAACAAACGTTTAAAATCAAAACTCCGTAGCCTATTAGAATTAACACTAAACGAATATTTCTGAATTGAAATTTATAATTAAATTAGGCGTCTCGGATTCTTTAACGTTATAAATTTCTGATGATTTCGAATCACCTAAAGCAACAATACCTATTTTTCCACTAACTAATCCTTAATCAACACTATAAGTAGTTAAACATAATAGTTTCAGGATATCGTCATAAAGCATTGTCATGACAATCACGTAATATGATTGATAAAATTAATGAGACTATTAACAAAATCGGTCAGCAAACTGACTTATAATTATCACTAGTGTTGTTTTTCTTTTATCTTCATTCACTACGGATGATTACAGTATGTTTCTCTATCAGTTGCTCATTCAGTAAATATCTCAAAACCTTGTCAGTCTAATTGATGGTTTAGCGACACAATCATGCATGCAAATAATCAGTATAAGCAGTCGAGCAAATCTCCTGCAAACTGAAAACATCAATGTCGAATTTACCCCAACACTGACTAAGGTTCAAGCCATTATCATAGACATGAGTTGGGAGTGTACTCCCCTGGTTACAACTTATGTTCTCCCTGATAATCACATGAGCATCACTCACTATTAATCATCTTGTAAAAAGTTATTTAGCTAAATACATCTGCAGCACCACATCACTTCGTAATATGACACAGGCTAACTGATTTTAATAACTTGTAACCACTATATCTCAATTAAATCGTGTTCCCCATTATAATAATCTGCATACTTGCAACTAACTTGTATGCCCAAGCAGCCGGCAAGTATAAATACAAATAAATAGTCTGCCACAGATCAGAACATTGAGTCTAGAGCATGTCTCTTACGAACACACTCATGTTCAATGATTTTATTCCTAGCTATCTATCCAAAATCCATATAATTATCACTCATGTATTTAAATTTTATTTTGATAACCATTCATGTGTATTAGTAGTATTACTAAATTCTATCACGGTCAAATAAAAATGAGGTTGAGAAAATCTCCCCGTAACTAAATAAACCGTATCAAACTAACTGGAACACTAGTTGGAATTCTTTCCATGGTAATACTTTTGTTCTCCCAGTTAGCCTACTAATACAGATGCAATTGGAAATCACTTATGGACTTACCAGCATAATTGTTAATTGGTTTCATAATTTAAACCAAAACTAATAAATAAATATTCATATTTAATATTTCTAAACACAAAATACTTACTACCTATACTAAGTTATTAACACGCATTGTTTTATTATTATTAGTAATCCTTTTTATAGCTCAAATAATCTTCACTTTCAGCTTATCATTACCCGGGGGATTCTTCCTAGTCTTGGTAACCTTCGGCGCACGACGATCCCATCCAATTTGGTATCGAACCAACATCACGTTGATTCTGGTGGGAGAGTAGTGTAGTGGCATTGGACAATAGCCACACAATCCACAAAGCTGTGAACACGAGACTACTCAGAAAATAGATATTCAATATTTAACTCGGGGAAATACCCAACAATGGAGAAGGCGCGAAGAATGAATTGAATGGACTGGAGTTGATCGAGTGGCATGGCTCGTCCATGCAGGCGTGGTCCATCTCAGTGTTACTGTATATCTTCTATTCATATTAAATATATTGTTCTTTCTCTAGCCTAACCTTATCCCTCATCATATATTGGTAATTGATACGATACAGTGAGTTGGTGTAGTCGATGGTGTGACTTCCACGTAAGATCTTATAGATTAGGCAGTTATATCATGACGAATCTACAATTTTGGGATTAGGTCTATTATTAGAGCAGTACTAATATCATAGTAGATCATAATTCTACAAATCTAATAATCTTCGTCTTCTTATTACACTATCGAAAAAGGAAGTTGTTTATTCTTGGTTTGGTACGATATCAGTACAGTTATCTATGCCACCGTGATGATAGACCTAATCTTAAAATTGTAGATTTGTCATGATTTGACCACCTAATCTACATGATCTTACGTGGAAGTCACATATTGTCTAAACTGATTTACTTTTATCAGATCAATCACTTTATATCAGATATCCGATTCATGGACAAGAGTAGAGGACCAGCGTAACGCTAGATAGTATTTTATTCCACACAATTACAAATAATCACTCTCAGTTTGGACTCAAAACCAATAGGAGGAAATTAATTAATTAATTTAATAGTCGATATGTTGAGTGTTGTATGTCCATACTCACTGACCGATCACACTTGCTTTCACTACCAAACATCGCTTACCTAGTACCTCAAGTCCAGTCGGATAAACTAGTGGTGATAGAATCGATCTGTTCTCTCCGTCCATGAAATACTGATATATCAATCTTATATTGCAATCTTCCAAGAGCCAACTTAATTTAGCATACAAACACTGGAGGACCTTGACTCCATTTAAGTTTGGCCCTTTGATCACAATAAGAAAAAATATTATTTAAGGTTGGCACCCAGCATGCATTTTTTCTAAAGCAGATTCCTAACCAATAACCTCTCAATCTTGTCTTTTCTGGGAAATATTTATTTGGTCATCCAAGGCTTCGGTTTGACCCGTTTAAGTGAACGAAAACTCACTGATAACAACTACGGAGATTTTTAATGTCTGGCTGGATTGCTTTTTAAGAACAGTCTACGCCAAGTGAATTAGAGAGCCTCCCTTTTGTTCAATGCAAATACGTCACGGCAACTCACATTGTACATGATCTCTGGTGCAACCAACCATCCATTCTTACAAATTATTCTTAAAATTTGAAGCAATCTATAGTCTTACAGAATCATAAGAACAAGCTGCTAAAAATTAATTCTGCAAGGCCAAAAAAGTATCCGAAATCATGTCATATGCAGAGGCTACAAACAAACTAGTGACAATTAACCCCGAGTGAACACAGCTATCAGCAACAGATCAGCAGCAGCACATTATGGAAATAATTGCATGCCCCACCTTTGGAGACATTCCAGAGTATTCTTACTGTTTTCAAGTGCGGGGAGGAACACTATATTCCCACACTCTAGATTTAGTGGAATGAAACTTTAAAGAGTTGGCTGGCAAGCTCTATCGTCAAGAGGGCTTAAAATGCGCTTAGACCTTACCAGTGCATGGTTTGCCTGAAAGAGATTTTCGCCACGGTTCTCACAAGACTTCAAATCACACGGTGATAAGACTAATAGGTCTTTTTCAACCTAGGACACCTCTAAAAAGAAATTACACTAGCCGTATATGTAGTTTGCAGAATGCCTAATTTGGATTACTTCACTCTTTGAGGTAATGAAACCAATTATACTGTTATCCGCCAAACTTGACGTCGAGTCAAATGTACCTGAAATTGAAAATTGTTACCTAGACATTAAATTTCTCTACAACGTCGAACATGGTCGATAAAAAGTTATAACTCAGATTATGCTTGTTCAAGAAGGTCATTTGGATAAGCGAAAACGAGCCGTCTTAGAGTTGAACCAACTGAGACTCACTAAGACATTATCTACCTTGACAGAAGGTAAAGTTTACTCATATCTTAAAAAGCCAACCAATGGTGAACCGACAACTAACACCTTGAGTTTATTCACCAGATATGTATGATTGATCCTACTGAAGGCTTTTGGGAAATCGATGTATATCACGTCTACCTACCTCATGCGATCGGAAGTGGTATTGCAATCAACATACTGGTAATATAGAAAAAGTCCCACGGCTCCTCTCCTACAATCAAGTTTGTTTATGGGTATTATTACCAAGCTCTGTAATTAACTTATTTAACAGAGTGTTACTCGAACAACAAGGATTTGTCTATAACTTTGTGCCACTATTATTACTACCATACTTGTATGAATGTGTGTGTTTGATCATATGTGACAGCCTACACATATATCCCAATCTCCGGCTTAAATGTTAGTTCAACCATATCAGGAGCGAAGCAGTTACTTTCCGAAAACAATGGGGGATAGTCGTACAATGTCGTGGGTCGTTCTGAGTCAGAAATTAGCACTGTCGGACGTCGGCTCAGAGATTTATAGGTTGAAAATCCGTGCTCGAGGCTAAAGGTCACGAATTCGAGTCTTCCTTGAGAGTTCATGGATTCGTACTGCTGACGGCTTCTACAACAGGACGAAAAGTGCTTCCAGGTTCTCAATGGTGGTCTACCATTGATCGGTTATTGGTTTCTATCAAATAGTATTTGCCTAAAAATCGCTCGATAAATCGATCGGTTCCCAAGATATATGTGCTTGAATCTTACTGATTTATCCGACTCTCAATTCGCCTCTGTATTTACTTGTCCTCGTGTATTAGTTTTTCGGTCCAAGTTCACTTGGTATGCTTTTAGCCTAGGGATCTGAGTTAGTGAATAATATATTTAGGTAGGCGGATCGAGTTTCTTTCTGAATCCATACATCAGTGGTGTTTATTTAATAATGGTTATCAGGGTGATCAATATATGGAGCCAAGCCATTACAGGTCTTCCGGAATCCATGTTGTTAGTGTGAGATAAGTTTGTAGATAACAAGCAGGGGCTTAATCTGTTGGTGATACGCACTAAGGTGGCATCTAGCCAAGTATTGGAGTTCACTACCGTCTGAAGTGATTCAAGCGACTTTGTTGGAATCCTTTGAGAGGAAACTTGATACATCCCGAGGGACTCAGAACAGAATTTCAGATAACCTTTCTAATACTTCTCTTCTGTTTGCTTCAAAACTAGTCTTCTGCCTGAAGGCGTCGATAATCCATTGCTACTAGAGAAGAAAGTTCATAAAGCGGAGACTTCTGTTCTGTCCGCGACCACTTGTTTCATTTCAGCCTTGAAGGTGAAATCCATCTTTTCAAGGTTGTTCTTCAAATCTGACATTTTAAATTTATCAGTTGTTGTCGTTATAATCAGGTAGAATTGTACTTAATTTGCAAATATACATAGATTATTGTCTTGATAGTGATGTTGAAAACAAATGTCTTCATCCAAAATCAAAATGTGTTAATTTTACTTCTTGAAACTAGATAAAAAGACTACCTTTTCATTAATAACTAACTAGCGGGTGACATTTAAGTTCGTTGCGTGGTAAAAATCTTTAAAAACCCAAAATCTTAATTCCGAGTGTTTGCTCAAAGTGTTGATTTTAGTTTGCTTGATCACTGAGCCTTGGATGATAACGAGAGTCTAACTCTTTTCATGAGCATAAAGTATACAGTTGAGCGGCCTCGGTTCCGCTTTCTTTATTTCATCAGTATACTTTATGCCAATTGTCTTGATGGTAAGAGCTTCTCATCCAATTCAACTTTTCGTCGGGTATTTTGGCACATGGATTTTCGATCACTCACTAAGAAAATGTGTCCTCGTATATCCTCTGTTCTAGAGATCGAAAAGGTTAGTTTAGATGCAGAATTATCATTAAGCAATTTAAGGGTCGTGACTTAGCGATAAGTTGTTCCTTTAAACGACGAAAGAAACAGACTAAGGTCAGCTGGTCTCTAATCACACGATAGCTCCGAGACGCTAAGAATTAAGTTAGCTGGGGTTCGCTGAACCTTTTACAACAAATGAATGTCCTTTTCTAAATAGAGGTCGGGAGCACGCGCTCATTATTTGAGGTTTGGTTAAATAAAATCTTTATAAAAAACCATAAATGTTTTAACACATGCTTGGATTAAGGGTTTGTGTACTGATCGAAAGGTTATGAGATAATTTGCTGGTATGCAAGAGTGGCTTGACTGACTATTGCTACTCAGTCATTGCATGGTTAGACAATGTACAACCTAAGATAATTCATCGCGTATTTGTCTGTGTCTTGGTGATCAGTTTGCATCATAACACACTTGTAAGCAATATACGACGATTTGTGAGTGCCATAGTTTTCAGATTCATGTGAAGTCCTAAAATTTTCATTTTGTTTCATATCGATCCTGGTATTTTTGTATAGTTAGCATTTAACGAGACCGAGACTAGAAAGTTAGTTTACACTCATTAAGAAAATCACTGCTCCCAAAACGCCTCATAATTAAATCCGAGATTATTTGGAAACTACGAGGTCGACGCACTTTCTAATAATCAGATCCACAAACACACACACAAAGCCACACCGATTTCACTGGCTAACAGAGAGAGAATCAGATCGATCATATTTACACCAGTAAAAAACCTTTGAGATTAATGGAAGACGTGAGGACCAGTGGAGGAGCCGACAGAGTTTTGACGTCTACCTGGTGGTTGTCAAAATGAAACGAAAGATAAATAAGCAATGGACAACTAAAAAAAACTGCACTACAAACGCTAAATACAGCCTTCCTTCGACATACAAACTCAACGAATTCAATATAACTTTCGACAACAGGTTGCAGGTCTTACAAGATCTACTGAAAGAAGAAGAAACTACGATGGAGGACGACAAATGAAGAATGAGAAAGCATCAGGACCCGACAATATACCAGGTGAAGCTCTGAACTCACGCATTGAAGTAACTGCAAATATGCTCCACGTTCTATTCAAGATTTGGGAGAAGGGAGAAGTTCCAGCAGAGTGGAATGAAGGATATCTCATCAAGATACTAAAGGAAAGAAATCTGAGCAAATGTGAAAACTACGGATGCATAACTCTGCTGTCAGTACCAGGAAAAGTTTTAACAGAGTGTTGTCGAACCGGATGAAAGATTCAGTGAACGCACACCTTTGAGATTAACATGCTGGATTTTGTAAGGATTGGCCGTGCACAGACCAAATCACGACACTATTTTTGGTTAATCAGTTGGGTGGAACTCGTCACTATACATCAACTTCGTTGACTATGAGAAGAAGTTTAACAGTGTAGATAGGAAGACTTTATGGAACACTCTTTGACACCATAGTGTATCTGAAAAAATCGTCAACGCCACCCGAAATTCATACGACAGACTACACTGCAAATTTGTGAATGAAGGACAGCTGACAGATCCATTCCAAGTGAGAACCGGAGTCAAACAAGGCTGCTTACTCTCTTTCTTTCTCTTTCTTCCAATGGTTGACTGAATTATGAAGATCCTGACATCTAAGGGGAAGCACAGAACACAACGGACAGCTTGTATGCAACTAGACGATTTGGACTTTGAAGATGGCCTAGCCCTTCTATCCCACACACACGAATAGATGCAAGTGAAAGCAGCTAGTGTAGCAGAAGCCTCTGAAGCAGTAGGGCTCCACATACACAAGGGAAAAAGCAAGACCTTGAAATATGACACAAAGAACACCTACCCAATCATACTTGATGGAGAAACGCTGGAAGAGGTGGAAATTTTTATGTACTCGGGCATCATCATCGATGGACAAAGAGGATCTGATGCAGACGTAAAGGCGAGGACTGGCAGAGCAAGAACAACACTTCTATAATTGATGAACATATGGAACTAGAAGAATCGGTTAACCAATATCAAAGTCACAATCTCCAATGCAAACGTCAAGACATTTCTACGGTACGGAGTTGAAACTTCGGGAACTACCACAACCATCATCAAAATGGTTCAAGTACTTATAAACGGCTGTCTACACAAGATGCTCAATGGCTGTTGGCTGAAAACCATCAGCAACAGACTACTGTGAGTGAGAACAAACCAGATTCCAAGTGTAGATGAAATTAAGAAAATATATTGAAGTTGGATAGGACACATTGAGAAAATCATCAGACTGCGTCACAAAGCAAGCACTCATATGGACTCCTGAAGGGAGACGGAAAAGAATAAGATCAAAGAACATACTGTGTCTGGAATTGTAAAAAGACATTCAACGGATGAATAACAGCTGGAGACAGCTAAAAAGGATTGTTTAGGGCGGAATTGAATAGAGAATACTGGTGGGTGGTCTATACTCCTTCGTGAGGGTTAAGAGGCATAAGTAAGTATTATTAACAACAGGTTACATAAATTCTTTTCGACTGATTGTGTACTAATCTTTGCAGTAGTTGGGGACCATATAAAGTGGAACTCTATGATTGTACAAAAATAGACTAATTTATTAATGTTCTACAAAACATATTTGTAGGACATCTTACTAATAAAATCAGTGGTGTGGACAACTGAAAGCAATAAATAAAATAATAAAACTACCCCTCAATATTTCTCATTCCTATTTGGCAAAATTTACCGAGGAAATTAATTATGTCCAAATTCATATGCTTGAACTACTGTGAAATGTAGAGTATTGAACCGATGAACATAATTGCTATATCTTACCTCATTTATAAGTGACTAAATTATCTGATTCCATTTTGAACATGTTTGTTAATGGCAAACATTCATGCCTATTTTTTAAAGCAGTAAACAATCAACTGAAGTAAATTACTAATTGTTCTACCTCAGTGTCTTACCCAATAAAATTTAAACTTTGCTAATATTAACAAAATATACTTCGTGGAACTCAAAATTGTTTATTTTCTTGTTTTTCCCTTTTTCAGACAAACCCCGTACTCATCAATAATAAACATATTTTTTTAGGATAATAGGTCAAATAAAATGTCAGGGTATCAAGGTATGTTTGCTAAGCATAAAAGTTCTGTCCAATAAATACACAAACTGTAGTAACAAAGCTTTATTTTACAAAAAAAATTAAGCTACATCAACACAATCTAATTCTGTACTTCTCTCTTTTTCGGCAACAGACCTCTCAATCGCTAAAAACATTCGAAGAAGTCTTTGAGTGCTGTTGTTTTATATTTTACTAAAGTAGTGTGAGGAAACAAATTTTTCAAACTTAACTCATCCAGGCAGTAAAGTGGTGACCATTTGACACAAGAAATCATAGATGCATGATGTTTTCAACAATACAAGAGATTGATGTCTGTTCACAATCAATAGTATTACTATTTATCAAGGTTTGTTTGTTGATGTTAAGAACTGGAATTGATTTGTTTTATTTTGTTGCTGTGCACATAAGCAGATTGCCTCAATATTGCCATTTAGTCACAAGGCTTGACAAACTTTTAGGTAACAGTGGTTAACATCGATAATCAAATGATATAAACATCTATAATTAAAAAATTATACCCGTTACACAAACTAGTATATATCTAGACTCAGTAGTTCAATGGAAAATACTTTGTAATTTTGAAGCGAAAATTGCTAGGTTCGAATCACAGTGTAAATATCAGAGCTGGAATACGGGCTCAATTACCTGAAAGGTCCTAAACAGGACTATATGGATGCCTTGGATTCTACTGTTAGTCACTATTTAACTTTAACAATATTTTTTGTCTAACAAATTTTCAATATTTATTGAACAGATTATGTAATCACTTGATATTTCATCATTTTCATTTTTATTTCGATTTCTCCTTACTCTCTTCTCTCTCCTTTCTTCTTTACATGTATATATATATCTATTTAACAGATGACATTGATGATAAAGAACAAGGAAACATTCAATCATCAGCTTCTGTGCTTTCAGATATAAGTATATTAAATATAGCTAAAGCATTAACTGAAAATGATATGAGAGTATTTTTATTATTAAATATACCATTAACAACATGTATTAATAATTATGAAGAAATGCGTACATTTAATCAACGTGAAGCAGCATTTAGTCAAAAAACATTAATGTATTGGAAAAAATTACGTGAAACAGTTAAAGATGATATAAAAATAGCTGAATTAGAATATGCTTTAAGACAATCTGATCATAAAGAATTAGCTGATATATTGGTTGAAAGAAATCGTATGAATTTAGAAATTACACGAGATTTATTACAGAAATAAACTGCTCCAAGAAGGTTTTCTTTGAATGCTGATATATATAAATTACAACTATATCGGTGTTTCCTTCCATTCCATAACACTCATTCCACCAACCTATATATATATATATATATATTGATATAAAAGGTAATATGTGTTGGTTTTGTTCTGTTTGAAGTTGATGATTTCATTATGGAATAATGAAATAACTTGTATGTTATTTTATATAATTGTAAACTGTTTGTACAAGGACTTTTGTATGTTTTTATAGTATATGAATAATATAAGTATTTCAAAATACGAATTTTCGATAAACTAACTTGCATATTTTCTAGAGTTTAGATAGTTAGAGAGGTAATTGTCAGAAGGCCATTATTGTTTTTATTGTATTCTGTCTCTTTCCATCATAATGGGCTCCCTCATCATCATCATCATCATCATCATTTGTTTGTTTGTTTTTTACCTTAAGTTAATATGAATAAACTATGTAAGTTAGTGAAATCATACTGATCAGTAGATGCAAGAAAAGTATCACTCAATTATCATTAAATAATCAATTTTAACTGCTTATTATTACCTTGAAAACATGATTTTTCAGAAGATAGAAGTTGGAAATATCGTACAGAATTTTATTTCATGAGAATGATGAATTACAAACTAATTGTGACAGTGTCTTGAATTCAAATTACATATGGATTATAAGTTTACCTGCAAGATTGTAAATCAAAATGTATAAGCGAATTACAACTATTAGGAATTTTAGTCTTAGAGTTTTCAGTGAACTGCTTACCTATACAACTAATAACAAACATTTAGTGAATAGTATATCGAGTCAATTAAACTAATGGTCGAGTTGTGATGAGATTGATAAAAATCGATCAGCTCTACTGGTTAAAAAAACCTAACATTACTGAATTAAAGTCTTTGCCCTCAAGAGTAAAGACAAGTGATAGGACACAACGAATTAAGAATTCCATTTGGTTCTCAAACTTCAGTAAGATCTATTTGAAAAACAGGAGGAATCAATGCTGTTCCAAAATTTTAAACAGTTGTCATTTAATATTACTTTAACACACATTACTGCTCACCTATGTGAATAAAATTGGCTTTTTGTAGGACAAAAATATATGTACCAAACGGTCACTCAGTGGTAACCAGTCATATCTACTGATCGGCACTAATCGAATTAAGACCATAGTACTTGCACTGTAGCATATGAACAAAGTTACTGGGACTTAAGATGAATTTTATATACTGTTAGACGGCTGACATTATCCAGCAGGATGCTACAGACCTACGTTTCTCAGAAGTGGTCACTGGGTGAAACGGGTTGGAAGATCTACAGTACCTGTGTTTCTTTCGGAATTGGAAATTTGACTGAAATTCATGTACTTAATAATCCAGTTTGAGTTCATCCAAACAGTTAGTCACTTCATCTCACCACCATATTGTAAATATCATACACAGAATTCGATTACTAGACACCGACACCAAATGCAAATCAGTCCATTTCCAGTTGACTATCGAATTGAAACTGTTAGAGTTTCTTGTTATACTGCGTATATATTTATAGACTTTTCAGATTATTTAGAATCTTGAATTATGGATATGAAACGAATTTTAAGGAGTAATTTTATATGATAATTGGCTTTTAAACTGGTTACTATCTTTTGAGCTTTATCTATTGGTAAATTTGATCAGTTAGCGACTTCTGTTACTTTAAAAATACCCTCATATTTTCTTATTAACAAAGGATTTAACATACTTAATTGTCAAATAAAAGTAGTACATGCTTAAAATACTACTGATCACGAAGCAAGAAATCAATAAATTATTATATGATGAAGTAATTTAGAACAAATTGTCCAATCACATGCGTTGATGAGCAAATTAAATTTGCTTATTTGACTTGGAAATTGTCCTCTTTTATAAATATAAGACATTCTATGATCTTCTTTTGATATCTGTTTTAAACTAAAAAGGAGTCTACTGAAAGCTCAAACGAATACGAACCTTTTCTATTCTGTGTTCTTATAAGTGAACTATTTTTTACTTGATATAAATAAAAACAAATTAGTACAATAATTACCTAACAAAATTTATATATTTTATACGAATATTCTTCAGTATTAGAACGAATGTTTTGACAAAAATTAGGCACCGAGTATAGAGAAGTAATTCTATGTGCAAAATTATATTTGAAATAATCTCAGCGATTGAAATTTAAATCATTCGAACGTTTCGTCCAGTAAACTTATCTGAACTTCTTCAGGGTAATAATCAAAATTGTAATCATTTAAGAAACATGTAGTGTTTAACAATCAAAGTGAAAGTTTTGATTATTACCCCGAAGAAGTCTACATACGTTTACTGGACGAAACGTTTGAATGATTTAAATTTCAGTCGCTGAGATTATTTCAAATATAATTGTCATGTATGATAACAAAATATATAATTGTAATTACACAAAGGTATATGACCTACAAAGAAATATGTATACATGATATCCAAACCTCAAAAAACATACTCATGAGAAATATAATCACGAAATGTCACATTTAGAAATCATTCTCAAATTCTTAACAAATGAATTTCGACCAAGTCTGTAGTCAAGAAATTACTTATCAAAATCACTAGGTAATTGTTACTCTGCATCATTAGTTAACTGAAATCAGATTCAATTGCATGATCTGCTATCTTCCACAGTAGACACTTTTGTGAAATATGCGGATGATCTCACTGTATGTATACCTATCTCTTCCTCTTTGCATCTCATAGAAATGAATGAGTTTTTGTCTCGTATTGATTGTTGGTCTGTTGGTAGTGGTCTCATACTTAATCCGTCTAAATGTCAAGCTGTTAACTTTAGCATGAGACATGAACGGCATCTAAACACCACTTTAGGATCCCATAGTGCTTGTGCCGTTGGAGACTCTTTGATAAACACAGAGTCGAAGGTCAATTGTCTTGTTGTTACCTTTTCTTTTGATCTGTCATGGTCTTCTCACGTTTTATGGTTATCGAAGAAGGTTTTCCGTCTGACCTACTACATTAGGAGATTGCATGCTCTTGGGATTACTCGTCATTTACTCTTACAATTTGTCAATTCTTGCATATTACCTAATATTCTTTACTGTTCTCCATGATTCTTTACCGGGATTTTGAGAAAAGACTTTGCTGTATTGCGGAGAGTGCTGAAGATAGTTAGCAAGATATGTGGTGAATCTTTCGAGGTCATAATTAATATGGTTGTGAATAGACATCCAAAGTCATGCAAACTCCTGGCAGGCGTTATCTTATCAGATACTAACCATCCTCTTCACTCATAACTTTCTCATTGTATATCTTCTGGTAGAATGAGACGTAATTACATTAAAATCCATGCACGCAAGTAAAAGTATAAAAGTTCTATAATACCTTACCAAGCAAATATACTCTGTGACGAAAAGGTTGTTAGACTGAACCTAGTCAATAACCTGCATTCTTAACATGTCTCTTATTTGAAAAGTTGTACAGTTTTTTGGCTTTTTTGAAACCTTATTTTCCTTTTTTTTGTCTTTGTTACTGTTTTTTTTGCGTAAGTAACTTGTTGAAATACCCTGTGCTGAGAATTTTATATTGTACCAAAATATAATATTGAATAAAACCATCAATAATAATAATTGCTGACCAAACTAAAGCCGAAAGATTGATTCACAAAAAATTAATTTGTCTGTATTATTGAAAATTTGTAGAGCAACACAAAACTCATTCATTTCTAGTATTCAATAATTCTTCAAATGAAATAAGTCTTTGAGGAATTTTATCTTCAAGATGTCAAAGATGATTGATATATTTATATCGTTTGGTTTCCCCTACATATCAACACAAGTGATAAGTTAGAATTATAACACTGTTTATATTTCATTCAAGTATTTGCTTACTTCTTAATAAATTTATCATTAACTATTTACCTTAAATTATTGATTGTTGCCAAGAAAAACACAAAATTTGGTTGCATTAAAACACACATATTTGATTGATCTATCCAGTTTTTCTTTTAGAGATTATTCATTACACAAGAATATATGGGGTAAAGTGGTCATGAAAAACGAGAATATTACATATACATGATCAGTTTAGGGTATATATATATATATATCTGGTTATATATGCATATAAATTCTAAACTTCTACATTATATACAACTTTGCTTTCTTTTGAATGAAAAACATAAGTCAATAGGTAGATGCGTACAAGAGAGGTGAAAGTGATGAGGAACATTTAAACAAACCGAAAATATTTAGTCTCATTATAAAAAGATATATGCTTGTTTTAAAAATCTTTGTTCTTCGAAAATATACATAGTTATATATCCATTTCATATTATCTAACAGTTATTGTATATAAACATAAATAAATATCAGTTTAGTATGGGATCATAAAGTTGTGGTTTTTCAAAAAAAAAACAAAATAATCAATGTATAACACCGTAGAATATTGAAGATAATAAATAATCCATTGGAAATTTTCTTTATTCATTAACAATTATGATCTGTTATTTCAATAATCAGAAGAACAACAAATTATAGTTGAAGTTAAATACATACGGCAAAATAATGGAATGTAAAGAAGATAAAATATACTAAAGATAATGATGATGGTGATGATAATGATGTTGATGATCACGATGATGACACAATTGAAGGTCTTCTTATAGTCATATTAAAATTCAACATAACCATATGACTTATGATATTTATTACTGTTTTATGCAAGAAGCTGATATATATTATGCATGTATACAGTTGTTGTATGCTTATCTTAGAAAAAAACAATAGTTGGATTCAATTCAACAGACATGAACTCATTAATAATCTAGTCAGTATATATATATCGCGGGTGTATTTCAATGTCATATATTGATTCTTTGAGACTGAAGTTGATCTGTGAATAAAAAAAACATTAAAAAATTACGCATTATAGGAATGCACAAGAAGAATGAGAATCAAAGTGAACATGTTCATATTGACAACATCATTTAATGTATAATGAAAATATAAATCTGATTTATTTTGAATGGTTATAATAAATATATTTTATGTTGTAATCTAATTAGTAGAAAAGTTATATTTTTGGCGTTTTGTGACTTAATT